AATACTAAAGTATTTATTTGAAAGATTATTCAGGGTTACCTTTATGCATTTCCTTACAATTTCCAATACAATAAGCTTTATATATTTGAGTTAAATACACAAATTGGTATTAACTTTAAGAAAGTATCCTTTATTTATACAAAATACATTAATCTGATCATTATGTATTTTAAATAAATTAGATTTAGCATCTTATACAAATGAATATAAATCATGTAAGGTTTATTTATTAGGTTTTCGTTAAAATTATCTAAAAAAAAAAGGAGGCCAATAGAGGATTCAAGGCAAGACAGAAAGTGGAATAATTCAAAAGTGTTTATTTAAAACACTGATGATCTGAGTAGCAGCGACTAGGGCGTCTATCACTGAAAACTCTGTAAAAGGAAACGCTGGTTAGTGACCACAATAATCCGACAGAGAACGATTACGGACGCATGAGTCACTAACCTGATTTAACAGTTCAGCCCGTGTCCTGAGAAAGAGGTAGAATCCAGTCCGGTGGCTGCCAAAAGATCAGATCAGAACAGGAAGGCTCAGAACTCCAGGAGTCCAAAGACATTTCAGGAAAACATTTCAATGGGAACTGGCACGCACAGTGGTTGAGAGGCAGAACAGGTCAGGATCAGGAAATCACAAACACTCAGGTTCGCTAAAAAAATTTTCACCAATGAAATGAGACGGGAACAGGCCGGCTCAGTGGCTGGGAGGCAGAACAGTTCAGGACGCTAAAAAAACCCTCTCACCACTGGTATGAGAGAACGAGCATAATCTGGCTCTGATAACTTGATGCAAGCACCTTAAATAGAGGCAGGAGCAGGTGGATCATATAACACTAATTAGAAACTGGGCAGAGTTAGATAGGTGAATGGAATGAAAAATTAAGTCAGTCATCAGTGCCAAGATCATGACAGTAAATGGGAATTAGTTATTTAACAGAATTACATATATCTTAAAATTTGGGTGAAATATTTTTGTGAGATAATTATGGTGTAAGGTGTGATTCAGTGAATAATGTGTGTTTAACCCACCAGATGCCTACCTGCTCATAAATGAAACAGCATCATGTCTTTCAGTTCAACTAAACCAGTACAGAGAAAATATTTTCTGGTCTCTTACCTCTAGAGTTGTCCTGTTCTCAGAGCGATGGCAATACCAACCAATGACCTTTAAACAGGTCAAAAAACAACAAGAGAACTTTAAAATGCTAACGGTTAGGCCTTAGGACCTGTTTATAAAAACCAGGATTGTTTTTATAAACTTTGAAGCTCCATCATACTCTGTTAATACCAACAAACCCTCAGCTGGATGATGTTCTTGGGTAAAGGGTGAGGTATCTACACATGAGTTTGTTAATCAGTCCTAACTTCAGTGTAAGGTCTCCATATATGTTTGTATCTAATGTCTGCAGGTATGAATATTTGTGTGTTTGTGAGTGAGTCTAAAGTGTCGCCAGGTATGTATGTCTTGGTGAGTATGTAGGGCGTTGTGCATGTTCGTCTGTGTCCCTGTATTATCTTTTATTTTCCTGTCTGCATATCTCTTGTCGTCTTTTCATTTCTGGTTTTCCTCGTTGTCTGAGTGTGAGACACTTTCTGATTGTTGTGTTTTCTACATTTGACACGCTGCCTTTCCCTCCCCCCCTCTAGTGTTGAGTATCGGCGAGGGTGGGTACTGGGAGGGGACGGTCCGAGGTCGCACTGGGTGGTTCCCATCTGACTGCGTTGAGGAAGTGGTGCTTCGAAGCCAGGATAACCGATCAGGTGATCACCACTAATCATTCAAACACCCTCATAGAAGTAACCTCAAACAATTGGTCCAACTTTTGTATTTGTTTTACTCCCTGCTTTTATAACAATTTTATCTTTACCTCATTGTATTCTACTTTTATTGTCTTATTTTATTGTTTAACTTTATGGAGGATAAAAAGTGCCAAAATTAAATAAATAAATACAGCGATAAACAATTAATTAAATGTGTAATTCATTAA